ACCTATAATAGATAGACAGTTTCACTACTTTTGTTTCAACTGGTTGATTTTTAGAAATCAAGAGTGGGGAGTAATTCTTATCTTTTCAGAGGGCAAGTTGTTCCAAGCAGATGCAGTTGATGTGAGGCAGGAAGATCTGGGTTTTCTGTATTGAACCCAGACAAAAGTCTCATGCCCCAGCAGCTCACACCTTGAGGGGATGGCAGCGAACCAGTATTCATTGGCAAGAGGTATCATCTAGGGCAGGTGACTGCCCCAATGTTTCCTGGGAGGCTGCTGAGAAAGAATCTTTTCCATTAATGATGCCTGAGGAAACAGAACTCTTTAGAGCTGAAAACTTTCTCTCCCTCTCTCCCACCATTCATTCATTCAGCAAATTGTTATTAAATGTATACTATGTGCCAAACACTCATTTGGGCGCTTAAGATAGTAGTGAAGAAAGCTGATGAAGTTTCTGCTTATGGACTTTTTTTGTAGGAGGAGACAAAATTAACAAATAATAATGTGAATACATGCATCATTACAAACTCCCATGCCACAAAGAAAATTTACATGACACAAAAAGAAGGATAATGATCAGAAATATTTACTGTTTCTGCCAGGAGGCTGCCAAGGAGTCAGTTCTCTGACTTCATAAGGAAAACCCCTAAAATTTTTTACAATAAACATAATGGCACCTCTAACTTTTGCAGTGAGTCATTCTTAGGTTCTGCCTGCCTGTTTCCTGGTTATGAAAAGCTGAAATTCCCCCAGCTTGAACCCCAGCTTCAAGGAAGGATTTTCTTCTACTTCATGGGATGAAGCCAGTTTGTGGCCACCACAGCTTCCTCTTAGTTCTGTTATGCTGCATCTCCCAGCACAGGTTTCAAGGCCATTTCAATATTGTGTATCAAGTTGATGCACAAGGTTGAAGTGTATTTTCAATATTTTTTCTTTAGTTTTACTTTAATTACTCAATAGTTTTACTTTAATTTCTCAAATAACATAATAAGAATAAAGGAAGTCAAACTAAAAGATGAGAATTTATCTTTTGTCAGTTTACTCATCAATGTTGCTTGGTCTCATCACCACCATTTGCCCACCATCCAGAGCTGAAATACCATTGCTGATGTACACATAAGGAACTGTTTGACATTGAAATTGGGACTCAAAAGAACTGTTGGCCCAGAAAGAAACTCACTACAGACTGATTCATTTGCCTTTCAGCTAACCATTATTGCTTGTCTCATTTTCAGTTCTTATAAGTGTATTTCTAGTAACACATGATCTCACTCATCTAGGGGTAATGATGAACAAATAGACTGATGAACAAGAACAGACCTAGAGACAAGGAGGCATGGACCAGACTGTCGGATTTCAGAGGGAGGGTAGGGGAGGATGGGAATAAAGGGGAGAGATCAACCGAAGGACTTGTGTGCATCCATATGAGCCTAACCAGTGGTCAAGACAACGGGGGGAGAGAGGGCATATGTGGGGAGGGGTTTGGGATGAAAATGGGGGGATGAGAACAAATATGGGATACTTTAATCAATAAAGAAATTTAAACCTAAATAAATAAATAAATACCAGGTTTACCCATGTACTGGTAGGGTGACCTTTAGAAAGTTTAAAAAACACACACAACCAAAACAAACAAAAACAAAACAAAAGAATGCCAACTCATTAGCACTGAAATATAAATGTAACCAGTATCCAACTCGGTTCTCTGATCTTTGAACATGATTTCCCTGTCATTAAACAATGTGTTACAGAAAAACAAAAACAAAAAAACAGTTGCCTTGTCTCAACCATGTACATTTTTTTCTAGGTATTTGGATGTGCATAACTTATTCATAATGGTAACATTTTCTGTTTCATTTTCTTTGTTATAATATTTAAGCATTTTCTTTCTCATTGGTACTTAAATTCATACACAATTATACACACACACACACACACACACACACACACACACACACACACTCTATAACTAGAGGCCTGGTGCACAGATTTGTGGAGTCCCTTGGCCTGGCCAGCTATTGGGGCTGATCAGGACCATCTCGCCCAGTCCTGATCAGGGTCGATCAGGGCTGGCTGGGAGAGGGACCAGAAAAGGTTGTCTGTGGGAGAGCACTGACTAATAGGGGGAAGCTCCTGCATTAAACATCTGCCTCCTGGTAGTCAGTGCGCATCATAGCAACCGGGTAGCTGGTGGTTTGGTGGTTCAGTTGCTTAGGCTTTTATATATAGAGGGTAGAAGCCCGGTGCACGAAGTTCATGCATGGTGGGAGGTGGAGGGTCCCCTCCACCCAGCCTGCACCCTCTCTAAGCGGAACCTCAGGGATGTCCGACTGCCAGCTTAGGCCCAATCACCAGCAGTTGGACACCCCTCTCACAATCCTAGACTGCTGGCTCCTAATGGGTCACCTGCCTGTCTGCCTGATTACCCCTAACTGCTCTCCAACCCCCCACCAAACTAATCACCTCACGAAATCTGCTGTTTGGTTGTTTGGTCATCCCTTACTGCCACCCCCTACCCTCCCACTGCCTGCCTGGTCGCCCCATGCAGCCTGCTGTTCAGTCATTTGGTCATCTCTCACCCCCTGCTGGCCTAGTTGCCTCTAACTGTCTCCTGCCTCCCCCCCCATCCCCCCGCCAACTGCCTGGTTGCCCCTAAATGCCCCCCCCCTTCTGGCCTGGTCACCCTCAATTGCCCCCCTCTACTGGCCTGGTCACCCCTCATTGCACCCCCCCTTTGCTAGCCTGGGCACCATCAACTTCCCCCCCTCTGTCCTGGTCACCCCACACAGCCTGCTGTTAGGTTATTTGGTCACCCCTCACTGCCCCCCCCCCCCCCCCCCATGCCAGCTGGTCACCCCTTGCAGCCTAATGTTCAGTTCTGTTCAGTTGTTTGGTTGTCTCTCACTAACCCCCCTGCTGGCCTGGTCACCCCACGCAGCCTGCTGTTCAGTTGTTTGGTCACCCCTTACTAACCCCCCTGCCGGCCTGGTCACCCCCACGTAGCCTGTTTGGTCACCTGTCCGGTCATTTCTGTTGTGATGGTCCCTGGCTTTTTATCTATATGGACTAGAGGCTCAATGCATGAAATTCATGCAAGATTAGGCTTTCCTTCTCCCAGCTGCTGGCACTGGCTTCCCTCTGGCACCTGGGACCCAAGCTTCCCTCGAAGCCCCAGCTTCATTTGGAAGGATGAAAGGATGTTGGGTATAATTAGCATATTGTGCTTTTATTATTATAGATGGTGGATGTACCATCGTTTAATTATTTTCCTATTACTTGTTGCTTAGTTGCTAACCTTAGATTTTTCACCATTATAATTACCGTATTTTTCGGACCATAAGACGCACTTTTTTCCCCCCAGAAGTGGGGGGAAAAAGTCCCTGCGTCTTATGGTCCAAATATAGCCTACACATATACTTTTTAAAAAAAATTTTTTTACTTGCCCAGCTCTGTGTGGTCTCTGTGTGCTTACCTGGCTCTAAAATGGTTCTAAATGCTGCTGTTTACTTTACAGGGTTGATTACATGTGTTTATGACTGTGATGTTGGGTTTTAATGCACATAAAATATTTTAGGACACTATTTGTTTCAGAATCTTTTTCTCTTCATTTCCCTTCTCTAAAAACTGGTGCGTCTTATGGTCCGGAGCATCTTATGGTCCGAAAAATACAGTAATTTTGAAATTGAAAACTATTTTTTTTACATGTTTCTATTGCCTTATAAAACTCATTCTGTATGTCATTAATCCTCTTTCAGTCCTCAACACACTGAAAATTAGGAAGGAAATAATTTCATGTGAAGGAACCAAAATGTATAATCTTTTTCTTTGAATTATTTATTCAGTTTTATTTCCTAGAAGTATGATAATAATCACAAACTCTTAATTCTATGGCCTGATTACTTTCTAAAAAGGTTAAATTCATTTCTACCACTTCTTTGAAATATTCTGATTTCATTACAATCTGTCCAGAAATGAGTATTATTATTGTTTTGAAACTGGCTGGCTAATGTACATTCTTTGTATGTTATATATTTTAAATTTACAGTTGCCTTGTCTGAGTTAAGATTAATCATAATTTTATATACTTGTTAATTGCATTTTCTATTTTGTGATTTGTCTGCCTGCCTATGTTGATTGCCTGTTTGAAAGGCTTTTACTGTATTAACCCTGTGCATACCTTGACTCTTGTTTTCCTTTTTATTACAGTATTTCTCATTGCAAAGAAGTTGGGATTTTCATGCAACTGACTCTATTAGACTTTTCCTTGTTATTGTTTTTTTAGATTCCAGCAGAAAGAAGAAAGAGCTGACAAATATAGAATTGTTTTTAGCCTTTAAAAATTATATTTTTAAACATTTTCCCCAATGTAAGAGTAATGCATTTACACTTTAGAAATTTGAAATATACAAAAAATGTGTAAAAAATGAAACCACATTATTCTACCATCCAGGTTTTTTTGTTTTGTTTGTTTTTTGTCCTTTTTCTTTCTCACATGCACATTTTAAAAACTGTGTTTTTCTCTATTTGGATAGTATATGATATACTGCTTATGACCTATTTTTTATATTATCATTACATAATTAAACTTTTACATTTCACTAAATATTATTTGATAATAAACAATTTTTAAAAGTCTCTCTAGAGTTTATTTTGAGATGAACTAAATCCTCTCTCCCCCAAATTGCTATTTATAGATCCTTAAACAATCTGTTCTTCTCAGATTTATCAGTGGTGTCTGCTTTACTTTTCTAGCATGTTCTTATCTAATATCAGTCTATTCTAAGGCTGTCTGTGCTGTTCATAGACCCAGGGCACTGCACCTGTAATAGGCTCTTCTCTCTTTTTTTTCTGAGTCCTCAGGGCTTCCTGGATTAAGCCATAGCCTGGACCAGAGTATCCAATGGAGTCTAGCAGTCGTGCCTGCTGTCTTGTTAATTTTTAATCCCATCCCAGTTGGAAAACAGCTCTAATCCCTCCCCTGCCTTTTTTTGTATTGGCAGATGTTTGTTCATCATTCTGAGAAAAATGAGCCTTGGCCTCCAGACCTAATAAAGCACATATCCCTCCCATGAAGAATAGTGCTAGATCCTGAGGACCTGGATCTCCTGCAGTCCCCAGGGATTACCCAGAGCAGGTAAGAAACACACGGAGGTGTGGGCTCCAGAAGGCAGCAAAAGGGAACATCCCTGAATAAAAAACAGTGTGGTAGAGTGTACTGATAAGGGTCACCTACAGCTTTGCTGCTTCCTTCATGTGTTTGTTTTTGGTTGATTCAGTGAAGGGTGAGGATAGGTGGTTTGCCTCTGTCTATACTCTAGAGACAAGATTTGAAGTTATTCTGTAAATCCGCCTGTGTGCCCAATCCTGCATTTGATGCCACCCGTGCAGTGATAGATAGCCGGGCAGGTGGCGGAGCCTCAGCTTGGCTGGGATTTTCTTTCTGTTGGTTCAGTGTTGACTTGTTTTCTGTAGGTGATAACATGAGTGTCATTGTATTCTTCTAGGAGTCTGATGGGAGTTGTAAGGATTCATTGATACAGTCCCATCTGTTCAATAATCCTTTTGAATGCCCCTTTTTTTCTAGATACTGTGCTGGGTTCTGGATTTCAGAAATGATCCAGGAGGAGTTTCCCTCTGCAGAGATCAGTGTGAAAAGCTAGCACTGGATGCCAGAGGACAGAGCAAGAAAGGCGTTAAAAGGGAGGTGGGCTCCACAGGAGGTCAGCAGTGGAAAGGTCATGCTGTCTGATGGCCAGATAAATGGACTAGGGGAGAGAGTGCAGCAGTGTCAAGGCCTGGGAGCTTAATAGATTGAGAAATTCAGAGTTTGGTGTATTTTCCCAAAGAGTTTAGGAAGAAAACATTTCCTACCTTCTTCCTTTACTTTGGGCTGCTTAGATTAAACTTCTTCAGTCCCTCTCTCTTGATAAATGAGAAGGACTTGAAACTCGAAGTGCCTATGTCGAGAAGCTTCAGCAGCTGATGGACTTGGGGTTTCAACAGAGAGTGCTGTTCAAGAGGGCCAGGAGGTGTCAGATGAATTTCTTGAGGCTACGATAGGGCACAGATCCTAAAGGCTGAGGCTGTCTTAAAGTTGCAGGTCTGTGTTGTGCCTGGTTGTGTGGGAATGCCTCTTTCTCAGGAAACTCAATTTTGGAGAGTAGGTGCTGGCAGGAAGCTGCACACCAGCCCTTTCTGAGTCTCTGCTCTCCAGACAGTGAATCAGGGCCTGTCTCCCTACCTTGTGTTTCATTTCACTCATGCAGAGAAAAGTTAATTCCCAACTCCACTATTTCCAAATCACTCATGCCACATTGAAAATAATTTATATTAGCTGTAAATGGTGCTAATAAAAATTTCCCTCCTTTTCTCACAAGGCTATACTGGGTCTCATAAGTATAACTACTGTGAGAGGGCTGCCTGAGAGGTAACAGGTAATGACTGCTGAGGTGCTTATGCTAAGGGTGGTTTCCTGTAATTGTTTGGCAGATTGAGTTGTCTCGCTAGTGACCCTGTTTGGTCAATATTGTCTTTTCACTGTTCTTTATCACAAACTGGAGGCCCAATGTCCAAAATTTGTACAAGAGTAGGCCTTCCTTCCCCCAGCTGTCAGCACCGGCTTCCCTCTGGGACCTGGGCTTCCCTCCAGCTACCAGCAGGCATCTGGGACCCAGGCTGGAAGGTCATCCAGTCTAATTAGCAAATTATGCTTCTATTATTATAGATGTCTGTCCTTTTAGTGCAAATTAACATTTAGAATCAAAGAGACCTGGGTTGGAATCCCTGAGTTAGCACTGGTTAATGACTTTGGGAAAGCCCTGTGGTAAGCTTCAGTTTCTTTATTTCCTCAAATAGGGTATTTAATAACTACCCCAGTGGTTCCCAACCTTTTTTTGGCAATGTCCCACCTAAGCATCTCTAAAATCCTAATGCCCTCTTCCTGTGATATATAATTCTTATTATTAAAAAAATGAATTCCTATTCACATGGAGGAAGTCTAAAAGGCCATTAACTTGACCTAAACAAGCTTCCAAAGAACATGGCATCCATGAAAGAGAAAAATAAAAGAACAAAAGAACAAAAGGACAATTGAAGTACTAAGGAAGAAATCACTGAGAAATTAAAAAAAATATATATTTTATTGACTTTCTTACAGAGAGGAAGGGAGAGAGATAGAGAACTAAAAATATCGGTGAGAGAGAAACATCGACCCAGCTGCCTCTTGCACACGCCCTACCGGGGATGTGCCTGCAACCAATGTACATGTCTTTGGCTGGAATCGAACCTGGGACCTTTCAGTCTGCAGACCGACGCTCTACCACTGAGCCAAACCGGTTTCAGCTCACTGAGAAATTGTTAAAATAATAATAATAATATGAAGTGATATGAAAAAATAGCAAAGTTTCAAAACATAATAGAGAACTGAAATGCATAAATATGCCACACTATATATTCCTATACTGTATATGAGGCCCCTAGAACCATAAGAAATGCAAAAAATTCACTGTTAATAACTCATTCTCAAATTGTCCCCCTTAAAAATCAAATTGCCCCCTGTGGGGCATGTGCCCCATGTCGGGAACTACTGATATACCCCATCATGTTATGATAAAAATTAACCGAGAGATTGCAGGCACTTCTTAAATGCTACTTTCCCTTCTCTGGTTCTTCAGCTGTCATAGTCATGTGATTGGCTGTGTTGGGGTCTGAGGAAATTGAGTTTCTTAGTTTTCTGATAATGTGACAAGCCCTCTCCATCTTTCTTGATTTCAAGTTTGAATTCTCTCTGTAGGGAAGTGCCTGTAGATCTGCAGAGGGTTAGCCAAAGCCTGGGGGTGATTTCTTATGCTCATTATGGTAAATAGCCTATTTAGTTAGGAAATGAGTTAAATGTTTTTCAAAAGATACAGACACGCTTTGAGGTCAAAGTGCTTTCATCTTCCATTCAGTTACGCAATACATTCTGGGTAAGCAAAGTAGTTTTTTATCCAGATATAAAAGGGACTATTCAGACTCTATTTTCTTAGTGCAATCAATTTCCCAATTTCAAGCAATTCTGTACTGGAAGCAGTAAAGAGGACATGGATTATGGATCTTACTCAGCTTTGTGATCCTAGGCACCTCTCTTAACCTCTCAGAGCCTCAGATGGCTAATCTATAAAATGGAAATGAGAATAATGTGGCTAGTGATGGTTGAGGCCTCTGCACAGCTCAGGGGATGTCTTCATATTAGACTGTCCATATATATATATATATATATATGGTCCTTGTTGGAGTTGTATATCACAGTGGTCCTGGTTTATGATGACTTTAAATAAAACAACATCTTGTGTGCTTAATTCATCTTTGTGTGCTTCATTTTCTGAATTGGTCACTTATCTGCTATCTTACCAAGATTTCCTATCCTTTACCATGAGGTCAGCCAGCTTTCCAACACTTACTAGCACTCTCACAAGGCACTCCATAAAACTGAGTATGGTGAAGCTAACCCTAGTTCTTCTTCTCACTCAGGAGTCCAACACCACTTAGATGCATGACAAAGCTAAGGCACTGTCTGTGGCAAGAGATCTTTCTGATAATTTTAAGATTCTGAGCCCCTTAGGATTTTAGAGAATTTGGGTTGTGATTTAGACCAGTTAGCCTGCTCTTCCTTTTCTTCTAGTTTTTCAAGCATGCAGGCCTTTATTTAATAGGTAGTGTAAGGCCCTAGGAACCTAATCATTCCTGAGATGTGATTCCTGACCTCAGAAGTGCAGAGTGCTGTTGGGGAGCTAGACCGAGACAAGAAGAAACTAAGATTCAGAATGTAAAAAGAAATCACGGAGAACACAAACAGGAAGGGAGTGTCTGAGGACTGTTCTCTACATTCGAAACCCAAACTGAGACGGTTTTTTTTTTTCTCTCTTTTGACAGCTGCAGACCTGGTGGAATTCAAATTTTGTCACTCTAAATCCATTGCTCGGCCTGTCACCCTGCCTCTTGCCAGTCATACTTGTAGATTTTCTTTACTTAATTTTTTTTTTTTTTTGGCCTTGTCTTACTTTTTTAGGCTTGTTTTCCTGCTCAGTACAGAGTGGCTCCCTTGAATGTATCCTTCATTATGATTCACACCAACTTGAAGAAAAAATTCAGTTACTGTGTGCTAGTCTTTCTCCTGTTTGCAGTCATCTGTATGTGGAAGGAGAAGAAGAAAGGAAGTTACGATGATTCCCTTAAATTGCAAACCAAGGAATTCCAGATGATAAGGGGTCTGGGAAAACTTGCCATGTGGTCTGGTTCCCAACCTGCACTTTCAAGCAAAACTCAGGACTCCTACAGGGGCAACCAGGCCCTTGACAGTCCTAAGAATCCAGTCAAGATCTTTCAGGTGTGGAACAAAGACAGCTCTTCCAAAAACATTGTTCCCAGGCTGCGGAAGATCTGGAGGAATTATATGAACATGAACAAGTACAATGTGTCCTACAAGGGACCAGGTCCTGGTGTCAAGCTCAGCGTAGAAGCTCTGCGCTGCCACCTTCGGGACCAAGTGAACGTATCCATGGTAGAGGCCACAGATTTTCCCTTCAATACTTCTGAATGGGAGGGTTTCCTGCCCAAGGAGAACATTAGGACCAAGGCTGGGCCATGGGGCAGGTGTGCTGTCGTCTCATCAGCGGGATCTCTGAAGTCCTCTCAACTGGGCAAAGAAATAGGTAGGTTCTTTGGTATTAAGATTGTTATCTGAACATGAGATTGCTACCTCATTTGGAATAGCTGGGCACAGACAAGACCGGAGACTGTGGTAAGTCTCCGTGGACTGGCAGACCAGGCCCAGGTCAGTATTTTTTTTTTTTTTAAATATATTTTATTGATATTTTACAGAGAGGAGGAAAGGGGAGAGATAGAGAGCTAGAAATGTCGATGAGAGAGAATCATCAACCAGCTGCCTCCTGCACACCCCCCACTGGGGATGTGCCCACAACCAATGCACATGCCCTTGACCGGAATGGAACCTGGGACCTTTCAGTCCGCAGACCGACGCTCTACCACTGAGCCAAACCGGTTTCGGCTCAGGTCAGTATTTTTTAATTACCCGTGAGCCAGAGGTGCCTCAGGGGTAGTTAAAAGGATGGGGATCCAGTCACTTGCATCTTTATCAATTAGAATAGCTTTATTTTTATCTGTTTTAAACATTGGTGTTCTGAAAATTTTATTTGAAAAAGGAATTCTACTTATACAAAGAAGCAAAATGTTATAATTGACATTTAAAAATAACTGAAGGACAGATCTCTACTTTCTTTTCAGGTTCTGAAATGTGTAGGTTGTCTCTTTTGGCTCTAACTACCTGAGTAATTTTAAGCTTTTCTGTTTGAAAAGAATAAATTAGAGCAGGAATTATTATTTTCCCTAGTACCTGCCTGTAATGATGCATAGTTATTATAGCATTATTGACTATATTCTCTATGATACACTTCACATCCCCATGTTTATTTTGTAACTACCAATTTTTACTTTCTAATACCCTCTTTTTTTTTTTTTTTTTTTACCCAGTTCCTTAATCCCATCTCATCTGGAAATCCTTAGTTTGTTCTCTGTATCTATGAGTCTGTTTCTGTTTTGTTTATTTGTTTATTTTGTTTTTTAGATTTCACATATAACTAAAATTATATAGTATCTGTTTTCCTCTGTCTGACTTATTTCACTTAGCATAACACCCTCGAGGTTTATCAATATTGTCACAAATGCTAAGATTTCATTTTTTTGACCAAGTAATATTCCATTGTACCACATCTTTTTTATCCATGATCTGCTTTCATATCTTGGCTACTGTAAGTAATGCTGCAGTGAATGTAGCAGTGCATATATCTTTTCATATTAGTATTTTGATTTTCTTCATATAAATACCCGGAAGTAGAATTGCTGAGTCATTTTTAATTTATAAGGACCCTCCATACTGTTTTTCATAGTGGTTGCACCAATTTGCAATCTCACCAACAGTGCCCAAGGGTCCCATTTTCTCCATAACTTTGTTAACACTTACTGTTTGTTGATTTATTGATTGACATTCTGACATGTGTGAGATAATATCTCCTGGTTTTAATTTGTATTTTTCTGATGATTATTGATGTTGAGTATCTTTTCATAGATCTATTGATCATCTGTATGTCTATTCAGGTCCTCTGCCCATTTTCTAATTGGATTGGTTTGTTTGTTTTTGGTGTTATATATTTTGGATATTAAACCCTTATTGGATGTATCATTTACAAATATCTTCCCCCAATTAATAGATGTCTGTGATTTTTTTTTTTATGGTTTCCTTTACTGTGCAAAATTTTTAGTTTGTTATAGATCCACTTGCTTATGTTTTCTTTTGTTTTCCTTGCCTGAGGAGATACACAAAAAATATTTGAAGAGCAAAGCCAGAGAGTTTACTATTTATGTTTTCTTCTAGAGGAGTTTTAAGGTTTCAAGTCTTACATTTAGGTCTTTAATTCATTTTGAGTTTACTCTTGTATAGGTATAAGAAGGTGGCCTTGGTCTGTTTTTTTGCATGTATTTGTCCAGTTTTCCCAACACAATTTATTGAATAGACTGTCTTTACCCCATTGTATTTTTTTTGCTTTCTTTGTCATAGATTAATTAACCATATAGGTATGGGTTCATTTCTGGGCTCTCTATTCTGTTCTGTTGATCTATGTATCTGTTTTTATTTACAGTATCATGACATTTTGATTGCTATAGCCTTGAAAATATAGTTCGATATCAGGTAGTATGATACTTATTCTCCTTTCTCAAGATTGCTGTAGCTATTCAGGGCCTTTTGTGGTTCCATATAAATTTTATAATTATTTGTTCTAGTTCTGTGAAAAATACCATTGGCATTTAAAAAATATATTTTATTGATTTTTTTACAGAGAGGAAGGGAAAGTGATAGAGTTAGAAACATCAATGAGAGAGAAACATCAATCAGCTGCCTCCTGTAGATCCCTACTGGGGGTGTGCCAGCAACCAAGATACATGCCCTTGACCAGAATCAAACTTGGAACCCTTCAGTCTGCAGGCCAACGCTTTATCCACTGAGCCAAACCGGTTAAGGCACTATTTACATTTTGTTAGGGATTCCATTGAATCTGTGGATTGCTTTATGATAATTCATTATTGGTGTATAAAAATGCAACTGATAGCCAAGACCGGTTTGGCTCAATGGATAGAGCGTCGGCTTGGGGACTGAAGGGACCCGGATTCAGTTCCGGTCAAGGGCATGTGCCTTGGTTGCGGGCATATCCCCCGTAGGGGGTGTGCAGGAGGCAGCTGATCGATGACTCTCTCTCATTGATGTTTCTGGCTTTTTGTCTCTCTCCCTTCCTCTCTGTACAAAATCAATAAAATATATTAAAAAAAATGCAACTGATATACTTATATTGTACCTTGCTACTTTACTGAATTCATTGATCAGTTTCAATAGTTTTTTAGTAGAATCTTTAGGCTTCTCTTTATATAGTTCTATGTCATCTGCAAATAATGATAGAAATTTTTAATTCCAGTACTGTGGTCTACCTTCAGGGGTTTATAAATCCCTAAAATGCTTACAAATATATCTATGGATAAGGTATGTATAGTGTATATGTAAATCAATCCGTGCATTTTCTAGGAAAAATGTCTATAGCATTCAGTTGCTTCTCAGAGGGGTATGCAATCCCCCCAAAGATGAAAATAACTGGTTGGAATATATAAATTTGCTTTTCTTGAAATCCTTCATAGTTAATAAAGATAGAAAGTCTATCCACTCTTGTAAACGTATACAATACAGAGCTTCAGATTTATTCAAGACTTTGTAGTACCCTTATTTTGAGAGAATGTGTTTTCCATTATTGTGAAATGAATCAGGCTAAAGAAAACAAGCACAGGAAGTGTTGCTCTCTTTCAGCCTCTGGAAGGTACTGGAGCAGGTGAGGTCATATGTCTCCTTTTTTATTTCGCATATGACTGCCAGGAAAAATGGTCTGAAACCAAGCACAGGTTCTCAAAAGGAAGAAAAGTAGATCCGAATTGGCTTCTCCAGAACAGAAAGAAGTGATGAGATCACATTTTGTACCTCCCCAAATAGGCAGCACTTACTAATATAAGCTGCCAAGATAACCAGCCCCACCTTGACTTGTGCTTTTTTTGGTTTCTTTTGGACTGCATTCTTTAGAAACTACATGTGATTGGGTTTTGTTCATCAGTAATGGAACTCAATCACTTTCTTTCATCCCCAGTTTTGCTCTGTCATGGTAATATTTAGAACATTCCAGATGTTAGTTGATCCTCTTCTTAATGGCAAGTCATCAATGTCAGCCTGGCTGGGATTGTGTTGAAGTTTAAGGCAGAGTCTGATGATGTTTAGGAATCGAAACTGTGCTATTTATTTTTATGCACTCATAAAAGCTTGGAGTGATTTACTGTTAATTAAAATAATCTGTTTCTATAGCCTGTAGTTATAATTTTAACTATGTATTACATGGGAGCACTTTGATCCTGAGACATAAAAACAATTACATGGCAGTCTTTAAATGTTCTGCCTTCTAAAGATATATCCTCTGGGCATTTAGTTTAACACATGTTTTAAGGAGTTCATTCATTTATTTGTTTTATTCATTCATGGATTTATCTACAATACTAAATAGGAACATAGTCTATAATATAAAGAGAAAAGAAAAAGGAAAGGCCTTTTGTTGAAGGCTAGTGAGTACCAGGCAGCATGCCAGGCCCAAAGCCTTTCTGCTATTCTTGGGATTTGCCTAGCTTGTTCCTAACTAATGAACATATCAGATGGTTTCAAATGACTTGCTCTTACAAATAGTACAGCTGACACAGTTCTGGAGTAGATAACATGTAACTATGTCTGCCCTCCCAAGGGGAAATAACCTCAGGAATGATACTAGAAGACCAAAGTAACATAAGTTTTATGGCTCTTTTTGTTGTCCATTGCAAAATTGTTTACCAGCGGGATTGTAATAATGTACTGTGTCTCCAGCAGTCCCACAAACCAGCCAATGGGGGGGGGGCGGGGGGGCTCTCAGTCATTTTCAGTCTTTTTTGGTAGGTATACACGTAAAGTATTGTAGATTTGTTTGAATTTTAATTTCAAACAATAGCATATTTTTTAATGTTAGTGATTCTTATTGTGCACCTGCAGTGTATCTAACATGCCTTGCTTGCTCTTTTCATCTTCCCAGCCATACTGGTAAATAGGTGTGATTATTGTTCCCATTTAACTGATGAGCTAAAATGTTGAGGCCTAAAGAGGTAATACCATTGATTAGCAGCAGACTGGGACCTGAACCCCAGTCATTGATTCAAAGGCCCTCATACTTAGTCCTTCTGCTCTTGTGCCTCATAGTGACTGTAGCTTTATAATAAATATTGGTATGATGTATACCTTGCCAGATTAAGAAAAATTCTTTGATGTTCTTGGTTACTTGCTCTCCTAGAGGAAAAAAAAGCATTCTAGTTGAGGCAAAAAGAACAGAAGCAGAGACCCAAGGGGAAAAAGTATAGAGTGTATTAGAGCATAACAGATAATCCTGTTTGGCTGGGATGGGGGTTCTCATGGGCTATGGAGGACTGAGGAATGAGGCCAGGATGATGGCCAGGGCTCAGCTCTTAGAGAATGTTGAATGTCATAATAAGAACTTTGGGTTTCATTTTTCTTTCTTTCTTTCTTTCTTTCTTTCTTTCTTTCTCTCTCTCTCTCTCTCTCTCTCTCTCTCTCTCTCTCTCTCTCTCTTTCTTTCTTTCTTTTTGGGGATGTGTGTTCATTTCTAAAGTCATAGAGAGATCTAGAAAGTTTTTGAGCAAATGACAGATGGGATAATGTGCATTTAGAGAGATTTCTCCCTTCTCTGAGTCCCCTTCTCTATGGACAATGCTATATTATCTCTCCCTTATTGGAGACTATTGCCACATAGAGGTGAGATGGGTCAGGGCTGTTTGAATAGTGTTAGTGGTAGTGGTAATGTTAGTGGTAGTGGTAGTGGTAGTGGAAAGAGCAGGTCTGATTTGAGAGGCATAATAAGATAGAAGACATAAAACTTGGTGTCTGACTAGAAATGACCTAGATTGAGAGACAGGAGCTGGAGTTTCCAGCCTGGGAGCTGGCTATAACATATCATAGGGCAGCATGTTTCTGTTGAGGACAGGTTCTGTCTTGAATGTCTGCCCTCCCAAGGGGAAATAATGTACTGAGTCTTGAATGTACTGAGTCTCAAGTGGATTTTCCTAGGTAGACATCTATGCAATTGGATATATGTTTTTGAGAAGAGTCAGATTTCGGGGTAATTTGTATTGAGGTGATAGTTGTAGTCCAGGAAAGAGGACTGATGAGAAAACCTAGAAAATAGTTTACATGTAAAGGACAGGGCAAGAACAGGACCAAGCCATCCCCTTCCATTCTCTACCCCTCTCCACCCCTACCACCCTGAAAAACACGCCAAAGGCCAGTGAGAAGAACTGGAGGAAAACCAGGAGTGAACCATGCAATGGAAGGCAGAGGGATATGGCATTTGGGCAGATGAGTTCTTTGGCAGAGTGAGCCCTTAGACTAAGGAGCTCAGAGAACATGATTATTTATGTCAAGGCTCAGAAAATGTTTTCTGTACATGACCAGAAACAAAATATTTTTAGTTTTGAAACCATACAGTATTCTTCACAACTACTTGCCTCTGTTATTGTAATGCAAAAGCAGCCACAGGCAATAGTAAATGAATGAGCCTGAGTTCCAGTAAAAATTTACAGAAACAGAGGTCTGATCATATTTGGCTGATGGGCCATAGTTGGCCACTGTGACCTACATATCTAATTTCCCTAACCAGAGTCTGAATACAGTCTTCCACAAATCTTTCTATATATATATATAAAAGCCTAACCGACCATTTGAATGTACAAACAGTAGCCATGATGTGCACCGACCGTCAGGGGGCAGACGCTTAATGTACAGGTATGGAAACATGAAACAGACTGATGAATCTCAGGAAGGAGAGGAAGAGGGAGGGTGGGAAGAGATTAACCAAAAATCTTTTATGCATACTAGAGGTCTGGTGCAGAGATTCTGCTCTGGCAGGGTCCCTCAGCCTGGCCTGCAGGCATCAGGCCGAATATGTGCACCGGACCTCCAACATCCCCCAAGAGGTCCTGGATTGTGAGAGGGCACACACCAGGCCAAGGGACTCCACCAGTGCATGAATCCATGCACTGGGCCTCTAGTAGTTCTATAATTCATTAAGCTAATTTGAAAATATAAAAAATGTTTAGTTCAAAATGTGATAAAATTTCTTTTACCACAACTTCCAGCTATTTGGAGTTACTATACCTGAAGGCAGTGAATTTTCATGTATTTATGAATTTATTAATGATCTGATTCTGTTAAATCTTCTAGGCAGTTATATCCTATGCATAAAATGTTCACCAGCCAAATCCTTGCTCTCTTTGGGTCTTCACACTGCTGTGACATCTGGTTGAAATGTACTTCCCTGGGCCCTTCTCAGGCCTAGCCAGACTTTGGGTCTCAGCTAGAGGCATTCCCTGAAACATCACCTTATCTGAAGGAGATTTCAAAGAGTCTCTGTTACACAGCTCAGTTTATTTGTGCCATAGTATTAATTACAATCAGTAATTATCTTGAGTACTGGTTGTTGTGCTTCTTTACTGTTTTTCTCCTTGCAGTAGATCACGAGATCTCTGCAGGCAAGGACTTTAATCTTTCTTGCTCACAGCCATTGTCTTCAGCACCTAGGACTGTGTATTTATTGAAGGAACACAAAATTCCCCCTTGTTATGGTGAGCACCAAGGACCTATTCTCAGCCTCCTGTGCTCCTTTTGCCCTTCTAAATCCACTCTACTTTTTGTGTCTGACTCTGTGGCCTGGGAAATTGAAATCTGGCACTGTGTCAACTGGGCTTCCTCACACTCTGACTTTTATTTGGGGCTGGACAATAGAGGTCCTGGTATGAAACTGAAAAGAAGGTGAGTGAAGTGTTGCTATCTGTCTCCCAGGGTCACTTGCCATAGAGTAACCACAAGCTGCTGCTTCTCTTTGACTGAAAGCCTCAGCCCTTTTCAAACACCCCTCGCTATCTCTAGATCCTACTCTTCCTCTTTCCTCTTCAGGTTCTAGAAATCAGCAGGAAGAAGGAAATATTGGTTGGGGTATTGATTCTTTTCTTGCTGGCAGGACATTAACAGTAGCTGTATTTTAAAGTCCACAGTTCCCAACAGGTGGCCTACTTACTGCTTCTCTTGCCATACTTGCTATATGGTTAGTAATGGTTTCCTGCTGTTGCCAACCCTGGGGTATTGCTCCATTCCTTGCTGATTTCCTTAAACTCTACCTACAACTTTGTAAATAGTCCTTTTATTCAACACTCGATTAGTACTCAATTTGAGTAATTCTATCCTAGTGGGACCCTCAGCTTACTCATTTATCACCTGTGAAACAGGAAAGTAGACTAAGTGAAGTTTCTGATGGATCTGTCTATGAACTTTACCCAGTTGCACCATACGGAAATGATAATTTCTTCCTGGGTACCACAATAGGATAAAGATTGGGAAGTTACTATTCTCTTGCCTCTCCTCTTCCTTCTGCCCTCTCTCCCCAAAACCTTTTCTCTTTCTGCATATTGCTGGTACTCATCACTTCTTGTTTCCTTGTGGTTTACAGATGATCATGATGCAGTCCTGAGGCTTAATGGGGCACCCACAGCCAACTTTCAACAGGATGTGGGCATGAAAACTACCATTCGCCTGATGAACTCTCAGGTAAAATTTCTTTGTGCAGGTAGAGTTGTTTTGATGAATAAGTGAGACAATCCATGCCAAGAAAGAAGTATCTGGCACATATGTCAGTAAATGTTAGCTACCCTAATATTTATGTGTGAGATGGGTATGGAGGATACAAACAGACTTGGACCTATTTTATTCTACTAACTGATACAATCAAATAGTCATACAAAGATATTCAAAGTTATAATTGAGAACCATAAAGGAGAGGGTCAAGATGCTAGCAGAGTTCATAAGAGGTAAATTTTCCCTCGTCAAGGAAGTCAGAAAAAGTGAGGAGTAAGAGAAGGAAGACACTCAAGAATTTTTTAAGGAGAGGCAACAGCATAGGGAAGGCCATTGGCTCCGAGAGTCAGAGAAATAGGGCAATCACTGGAGAGTTAAGGGATCCAGGACCAGATTTTGTTATTTTAATTTTTTATATTGGAGAGAATTGAATATGTTCAACAGTCAATGGGAGGATAGTCACAAAGGGACGAATATTGTATGATATCACTTATATGAAGCACCTAGAGCAGTCTATTCACGGAGACAGAAAGTAGGATGGTGGTTTCCAGGGCTTGGGGGGTTTTGGAGATGGCTGGCTGGTGGTGCTGGTTATACAACAGTGTGACTGTACATTTTATGTATATTTTATGACAATAAAAATATTAAACTACTCAGTAGAGTGAGAAACTGATGATACTAAAAAAGAAGAGAGAAGAAAGTGAGGGGGTAGAAGGGGTTGATCCAAAGCCCAGCCCAGGATTAACCCCAGCAGGAGGGATTCTGAAGGAAAAAGAATGGGTGGGCAGCTTGTAGTGGAAGCATGAAAGGGCTTCTGTTTTCTCTGCAAAGTAAAATGCAAGGCCATGTTGGAAGGAGACTGAGCCAGAGAGAGGTTTGAAATTGTCTTTGGGGAGAGTGGAAGGAGGAGTAAACTAGTAGAATTTCCCAGCCATGCTGGCTACACTGAAGTTGGAGAGCATGAATTCAGAGAGAAATCAAACTCTGTTTGATCATGGGTAGTGTGATTAGTAGGCAGCAGCAATAAAGAGAGGGAGCGTGGAGGAGCTCTGAAAATTCTCTCGGATTTGGGAGGCTGCCTGCTTCTTTGGCATTTCTCTACGGTGTTTAGTGAGAAACTAAATCTCCATCCTACAAAGATTCTGGAACTTTATTAAAAACCAAAGTAAGGCTTTCTGGGAAGTAAGAGACAGACTTTGATCAAATTCCTCATTCAGCACTTTCTAGGTGAGAGACTGCAGCAAACTGTCTTATCTTTCTGAGCCTCAGTTCCCAATTTGAAAAGGAGGAAAAGATGTTACCATGCAGGGTCTTTGTAGTAGCAAATGAGTTTACTAAACATGGAGCATTTCACACAGAGGCTGGTGCACAACAGCAAGTGCTCCGAAAATGTGTGAAGCTCTCCTGTGTCTGTTGGGAAATCACTGTGCCTTCCCACCTCCCAGGCAAATGGGCCTCTTGTCTCCCAGCAGAGATGATCTTAAGGCTTGGGATCACTTGGGAGGCATCCAGAAGAAGAGAGATAAGACTTCTGCTGAAAGAATAATTTTTAAGACAAAAGTAAGATTTATGACTCTCATATAGATATAAACATGAAAATAGGTTAAGCAGTCTATTTTATTAGCATGAGAGAACCAGGCAGATGTTGTAATAACCAATTCAGAGGAAAAGTCGAAATAGCTCTAAGAAATTAATCTTTTTTCTCTAAGGTGGTAAGGAGGGAGGGGTGGGCAGTCAGTCGAAACTATTGGGCAAGACTGAGTGAGCAGGTCTCTGGTCAACTGCAGTTCACAGGGTTGTAAAACAGCTTTCGGAGAGTGGGACTGGGATGAAGAGAGGGGTGTGCTTTAGACCACATGTGTCAAACACAAGGCCCGCGGGCCAAATCCGCCCCGCCAGGCCTTGCAATGTGGCCCGCACCGCGCTGTCATCACTGCACTTCGCTGCGTTTCCATCACAATGACAGTTTATGACTGTTCAGTAAACCATTCGGCCCGCGATTTAGGCTGGATTTTAGATTTTGGCCCCTTCTCTGATTGAGTTCGACACCCCTACTTTAGACAATGCTTCATCTCTCACTGAGCATGGCATTCTTTCTCTACACCTCCAGATTGCTGTGTCCCCTCTGCCAGGGCTGAGAGGAGGTGACCACACTTAAGAAAGCCTTTCCCAGTCCTCCTCAGGCACCCCCCCCCCCCCTTCCTTTCCTTCCATAGGTGGCCCACACCTCTGACTGTTCCTTTAACACTTCTGTCCCAGGCAGCTCCATGATAGTGCTTCCTGTGATACTGATCTGTGCCTGACACCTTTCTTTCTTTGTCCCTCCTCATTGTCTACCTTCTCTACCTTGTGTCCTGGTTGGTTACCTCCCCTCGCCCCCCACCCCTGCTATTTTGTGTCTGTTTCTATGAATGAGCAAAGTGAGTCCCACCACTGCACACAGAGGGCAGCTGGCACCCAGAAGTCACTGAGGGGATAGCTGTTGCTTTGGGAGCAGCCCATTCTTTCCCTACGTGGGGAGCTCTTCTTGACAGCAGCTCCCACCTCCCTCTCATGGCACAGAGCAGCCTTTTGTGCACCTGGGCTGAGACTGGGCAACGGAAAACAAAAGGTGGTTTTCTTATTGAGACGATAGCTTTTTATAGAGAATGGGCTCAGGCTGTGAAGTTTCAGCAGATCTATTCAGGCATGCATGTGCCAGGCATCATTAGGAGAGTCAACAGGAAAACCATATATAGCTCACCGTGTGTCTTTAAATAAATTAGATTCTGACTTTAAGTGTAAAGATGTTTCTCGAGACTCAGTTGAGCCGCTTGCTGTGCCCAGTGGCTCCATGGGACAAGGCCCAGTGGCTTTCCTAGGCTGGGGAGGGAAGACCTAGGTCCTGTGTGTAGCTATAGTGTGTGCTGACTGGACTTTAACCACACATTCACAGATCACTTAATGGGCTTTTCTTGAGATAATAGCTATTGCTACTTATGAAATACTTCACTGTCTAAGAGTCCCTCCTTTCACAGTGAGAATCCTGCTTCTAACAACCTCAGCACATTTTTTTATTTGCTCATATCTATAATACATCTAAAATGTTTTGTAAATTGCTTCACATATCTTTACATGAAACATACCTGCTAAAGAGAGTTTAGGATTTGTTTGGAGTTCTCCTCTCATCCCGCCCAAGACTCAGGTAACATGGTCAAATTATATGCATCTAAGTTACCTGGATTAGTCCTATTTCTCTTCACCAAAAGTAATGAATTCATTTGAAATTCAATTGTATTCATTTTGTTTCAGTTTTAGGTTTTTCTTTTCATCTGTCTTTTTAATATAAGCAGAATATAACATGGTTCCAAAATTCGATTTATTATTTTGTGTTTCTATTTGTAAAGACAAACTGATATTAAACAATTTTTAAATTCTTCTTGTTTCTTAAACAAAATATAGTGGCCTCTATTCTTTACATTCTGTTTCCCCCCAATATATTCTGGAAATCCTATCAGTTCATAGAAATCTTTCTCATTCTTAATTATAGCTGAATAGTACTTCTTTGTGGATAAGTTTCATAGCTTAGTCCAGTGTTTTTCAACCTTTTTTGGGCAAAGGCACACTTGTTTCATGAAAAAAATCACGAGGCACACCACCATTAGAAAATGTTAAAAAATTTAACTCTGTGCCTATATTGACTATATATAAAGTAATTCTCTTGAATAGGAATCAAATAAACACAAAGAAAGTATTTTATAATTACTTTATTATGAAATATTAAGTAAACAAAATAGTGAAAAATTATAAAATTCTTGTCTTGTCTGCACCTACGGCACACCAGGCAACATCTCGCGGCACACTAGTTTGCCGTGGAACAGCGGTTGAAAAACGCTGGCTTAGACTATCAATTTCTTTTGTTTGGCATTAAGTAACTTTCCAACATTTACTTCCTTTAATACCTTATAGTTGCTTTTGATGACTTCCTGTGATGCAGGGTAGAATTACAGGTGCCTCTGATTTGGAGTTTGTGGGGTTTTCCATTTGTGGTGCCCTTCTATGTTAGAGCACCTCTTTTCCAGGTCCAGTTTACCGTGTCAGGCCTTCTTTTAAGATTCAAAGCCCGACCACCTCTGTGTTCATCTTCCTATAGCGCGGACTCACTTTGCAACTCTGGCAAATTTGCACATATGGAAGCCAGAACATATACTTTGTTTTCTTATCACTTTTTTAAAAAGTTTTTTTAGTCTTTATTGTTGAGATTATTACAGATGTCCCTCTTTTTTCCCCCCATAGCTCCCCACCACCAGGTTCCCACCCCACCCCAGGCCCTTGCCACCCTATTATCTATGTCCATAGGTACTGCATACATGCATATATGATCTTTGTCTAATCTCTTCCTGCACCCCCCACACCCGCTTCCCTCTGATACTCGGCAGTCTGTTCCATTTCCATGCCCCTGATTCTATTCCATTCACCAGTTTATTCTGTTCATCAGATTTTTTTTATTCATTTGATTTTTAAATTCAGTTGTTTGTTTGTTTTTTAAAAAATTCTTTATTGTTCAGATTATTACAGGTGTTCTTCTTCTCCCCCTTCCCCATAGCTTCCCTCCATATGATACCCCACCCCACCATATGCCCTTACCCCCTGCCACTGTCTTCATCCATAGGTGTAAGACCTTTGTCCAATCTCTTCCTCTACCCCTCACATCCCCTTCCTATTGTTAATTGTTACTCCACTCCCTTTCTATGTCCTTGATTCTATTACATTCATCAGTCCATTCTGTCCATCAGATTTTTTTATTCACTTGATTTTTAGATTTACTTGTTGGTAGGTATGTATTTGATGTCATTTTGTTGTTCATAATTTTCATATTTACCCCTTTCTTCTTCCTCTTCTTAAAGAATACCCTTCAGCATTTCATGTAATCTTGGTTTGGTGATGATGAACTCCTTTAGCTTTTTCTTGTCTGTGAAGCTCTTTATCTGACC